TTCTAATGTCATTTGCTGTTTGAGGCAGGACTCGAACCAGGTGGTGGAGTCATATAAGTCTGGCTTCGAGGCCCCAGGCGATGTGGAGTTCGAGGACTACGGTCAGGCCATGAAGAGGACGGTGTCCGAGACCAGCCTGTCCAACTCCAGAGAGGGCAAAGACAAGTCCACTAGCAAGAGCAAGGGCAAACTGTGGCCTTTCATTAAGAACAAGAACAAGGTAATGCATGAATGAACACCTGACACACGTTACTCACTGATGGTGTTCACATGGAGGTCAGATATGAGATGATTCAGCGGGCCTGAGAGCTGAAGCAATCACACATTATCACATCAGAGACAGTAGTTTTTAGATTTGCTCACATTTTTACCTAGAAATGAGTTCTTTGTTAGTATCGCCATTTTTGCTGTTATTATTTGCCACCTGTTTCCTTCCTCCTCTGCAACCCCTCACTGATGTTGGAGCCTCAGTAACACACACTAATGTTTCCCTGCCTTCACTGTTTGGGCGGATTCAAACGGCCGATCATAACTTCCTGTCAGATCTGAAGTAACTTCCTTCCTTTACCAACTTCTCCATCGTTCTGGAGCAGCTTCCCTCGGGTTCTTGCTTATAAACGCTTAAACCGATCTCTGGCTGTCTAATGGGCTGGTGGTGCTGTCGGTATTGAATTAGGCCAGTGCGTGTGCGTGTGTGTGTGCGTGCGTGTGTGGGAGGATGAGATTTGAAACTCGATGGGAGATCGTAGCTGAGAACAGCAACAACACACGACTAACCTTTTCTTGGGAGAGCTGTATTCATAAACTATGAGCACATCTGCATGTAGGCTCAATAACTTGCACAGAATGGGAGCCATTTTGTCATTTTTAAGGGGTTATTGTTAAGGTCTGGCTGTCTGAAGCACCTGCTCATGCACTCACCTGGAATGGTCTCCTAAAATCTCACCGCTGCTTCGTTTTGTCACCGTTAAAGAAGATTTCTGCAGGCCGAGGTCTCAGAACGGCAATAAGCAATTAGACTCGTCCTCCGATGGCCTGAAATTCTGACGTCCTCTGGGATCTGGCGACTTTCTTTGGCTGGTTGAGACAAAAACATTAGAGAAGGAACGGCATGCGCTTTGACTCAATCTCCTTGCTGTTCTTGTCGCGGCTGCTTGCTTTGACACATCTTATGTTTCCTTCTCACTCTGGTTGTTTTTGTTCTTTTATTGTTTAACTTTTCCCCCCCCATTACAACAGTACTCATACACTAGGTTTGACATTCCTTTGGTTGTCTTTTCCGTTCTGTTTTTGGGTTTTCCGTTGTGTGTTTTATTTTTTAATATTCGTAGGAGGCTTATTTATTTCCTTTTGTGTTCCCTCCTCCTTTTCCTCCTTTGTCTTTTTTGTCTGGATTCTCGCCCCCTTCTCCTTCTTCTTCCATGTTTTATTTTCCTCCTTTTCTGCCATGGCTCCCTCTCACACTGGTAGCTTATGTCCTTGTTAACATCCCCCCATCAGCCCCCACCTGCCCCCCCAGCCTCATCCCCACCCTCACCCTCTGCTGTTCCCAACGACCCCCAGTCTCCCAAGCAGCACAAGGAGCCCCTCTCCCACCGCCTCAACGACTTCATGACCTCCAAACCCAAAATGCTCCGGACCCTGAGGCGAGGGGTAAGTGTGTGTGTGTCCAGCGAGCTTTGTGCATGCATAAATGTGTGTGTGTGTATACCTGCAGCTGCTACACTGCATGAGTGGAACAATTCAAAGGCACAATCTACAAGTTCTTTTGAATCAACCTTTAGCTTTCAGCCCAATCAGACAAATGCAGCTTTCATTTCCACACTTTGCTGCTTTTAACTTGTTAAAATAAATATAAAAGTATTAAATGTGACAATTACAGCAGTCCTGCAGCCTAAAAGGCCTAAAAGGCCCCACCCCTTCACTCATGCAGTGCTTACAGCCTCTGTGCTTCTGTAGTGCATAATCGTAAATCCATGTCACTCATCTGACTCACGTGGGTGTTTCCACCATGTCCCTTCATTTCTCATATTAATAGTGCTCACATCCCTTTGCACCCCCCAGCCTCCCAACAGAATATGCAAATGTCAGCAGCTGCAGTCTCTTCCTGTGCACCTCGCTGCAGAGACAGATTGTTTTTTAAACTTTGGGTTTTCGTGCGTGCGATTTGAGATAAGGAGCACAAAGAAAAGGATCGCGGCCTCGTGATAGTACGAGTCAAGCAGCAGGACTGGTGGGAAACAAGCAGGGGAGCAGGCTTAGGGGTCGTTTTATCAGCACCAGCACAGTGTCCTGGTTTATGTCAACACCACTTCCTGTTTTAAAGTCCCAGTATGTGCCTTAACGAAGGTGCAGGGTGACGGTCGCCGGGGAAGGTCACCCCCCCAGCTCTCCCTGACCTCAGAATAGGCGGTCACTCGTTCAGTTCCTTCCGGGCGAGCGATTGTAGATTCTGTCTGCATTTGTGATTTAAAAGGGGCGGCGTGTCCTCGCACTAAAAACATAAGTATAACAAAGTGCTAACGCGCCACCGCCTGAAAGAGCAGGAGAACAAACGTGGTTCAGCAGGTTAGCTGGGAGGAAATGATTGTAGGGAATGCAGAAAAGAGGGAAGTGTGCAGTTTTTTTCTGACGCGGTACAGATCGAGCAGGTTTCTGAAAGCGGAAGTGCTGCAACGGCGCTCAAGAAGAGAAATAAAGAAATGTTCAAAGATAAATTGCAGGCATTGTTTTCAGCTGCAGCAATTTTAGAGAGTCTGACCTTGCTGTTACATTTTGTAGCGTGTTGAAGGATGGTGGTGGGGTTTAGAAATAGAAACAAAGTATGAGAGCAGAAATAATTCAGAAGAGTTTCAAAGTGACCAGAACATGTAGCCACAGCTTTTATCATTACTCATTTATCTTGTTAGCTATTTTTATGCCTCGTTGGAAACATGTCCACGCTCACTCTCCATCTTAAAGTGGGATCAAGACAAAAAAAACAAAAAACAAATATAAGATCATTTTATATGAGTAAATGGTGCAGTCATGAACAATTTGGTCAAACCTTGAACCCAAGGTCATCCACAGTCTCATGATGCAGTAATTTATTGACAAATGAAGGTTTTTTTTGAGCAGCTCTCTGCTTCGAACACACCAGCTGTCAGCTCAGTGTCTGTAAAACTGTCTAAGTTTCAGCCTCTTGTTTGACTGTGGTGGTTATTTTAAAGCTGCAGATGCACCTCACCCTTTGGCCTTTCAGTGATTGGTCATAAAGAAAAGAAAGCAAAAAGATTTAAATATTAGTTTTTGCAGACCTGTTAGGTAGAATATGAATTCATGAGACCACAGGCTGTTGGAGGGTGCTACAAACCTAAAGATCAAAATCCACGGAGAGCCTTAGAATGTTAAAGTGTAGCTCTAAACAAATAAAAACGTTCCTTTAATAATCAATTAGTCATCTGTTAATCATTTGTTTGTGCTGCATCGTTACATGTGACTGTTATGTGAATGCTTAAATATGAAAATCACATTTTAAAGCAAATAGGCTCAAACTGACTTTAGTGTCTCTTTAAAAGTTTTTTGAACTTTTAAACCTGTGCAAATACAGCTAAAGTCTTAAAGCTGGGGTACGTGGTTTAATATGTTTAAAGTCATTTTTAAAATCCTTAAATCTGATCAGGTGTGGTGATAAGATATAGGTAATCTTTTGCAAAAGCCCCGCCCTTGCCTCTACAGAACAGTGAGTCATTTAAGTGAGCTGATGAGAATCAGCTCCTCTAAATCCGAGACCAGGGTCTTGACTCGGAAAAGGGTGCCTTCTCCGGGTCAGGGATGAGGTCCTGCCTCAAGTGGAGGGGTTTAAGCATCTCCAGGCCTTGTTCACGAGTGAGGAATAGATGGATTGTGAGACTAATCGGTGGATTGGTGCTTCATCTGCAGTTATTGCGGGAGTTGTTCCGATCTGCTGTGGTGAAGAAAGCCGAGCTGGAAGGCGAAGCTCTCAATTTACCGGTCGATCTACGTTCCTACCCTCATGGTCACAAGCTCAGGGTAATGACCAAAAGAATGAGAGCAGCTGAAATGAGTTTTCTCCACAGGGTGTCTGGGCTCTGTTTTAGAGATAGGGTGAGAAGCTCGGTCATCTGGGAGGGGCACAGAGTAGATCCGTTGCTCCTCCGCATCAAGAGGAGCCAGTTGAGTTGGCTCGAGCATCTGGTAAGGATGCCTCCTGGACGCCTGGACGGTGAGGTTTTCCTCACACGTCCAACCGGGAGGAGACCTAAAGGAAGACCCAGGACACGCTGGAGAGACAATGCTTTTCGGCTGGCAAGGGAACACCTTGGGATTCTGACCCAGGTGGCTGGGGAGAGGGAGGGCTGGGCCTCCCTACTTAGGCTGCTGCCTCCGACCTCGGATAAGCGGATAAAATTGTATGGATTAATTTACACGAGCCTAGAATGTTGACCAATAGTGTTGTGTATCCACAAAAAGGAGCTGACAATCGAGAATGCACCCCAGTTCCCAGCATGCACTGCGGGTTGAAGCATTGACCCACGGGCAGCTTAGCACACCAACCTAGCTTTAATGCTAACTCGACCTACATTGAATTAATGTGTAAACTTTGAGCTAGCTGTGGAAGAGGACCGGTGGGAACAATAAAGGGCTTTGTGTGTTGGAGCTAAGCGATTAGCATAGTGTTTACGCTACAGCAGACTAGGGCTGGGCAATATATCGATATATTTAAAATATCGATCTAAGTTTTAAACAAGATACAAGATGACTATATATCTTTATATCGATATAACTGGTCAAACTGCTATGCAAACAACATGTTGCTCCATCTCTATGCACACTGTAAAAAAAAAAAAGTCCAGTGAACTTAAAAAAGTAAAGCAACCAGTTGCAATACAATTTTAAGTTCAGTCAACTTTTTAGGTGCTGTTTTGTCTGTATTAACTTAACATGTTGCAAGTTAAAACATTCAACTGACTTAAAACTTTAAACTCCAAACAAATTGCAAGTTGGATTTTTAACAGTGTAGTTATGTGTATTCTCACAAGTTTGCTCAATCTCTGGGTAAATGTGCTGCTCTAAACTTTGCATTTGGCGTTCTGGTTTTTAATTATTTGGGGACGTTCAACGCCATCGGAGTTCTGTTTTCCATCCCGCTTGTGCGGAGCCAGAGAAACGAGCCTACCCCCTCCCTCCCCGTGTAATGGGAAACATCTACGGATAGCCGGAGTGGCCAAATTACCTCAAACTTATTGTAAGGGTTTGAACAGTAAACTATTGGGTAAACGTTTTATTTTGAAGACGAGCTCGAGTGAGAAATGTAGTTCCGTTTTTTTCCGCTCTAGTAAATACTTCGTTACGAGCGATTCTGTTGAAAAAGTTAAAGAGCAAGTCGCCCCCTAACAAGAAGCGTACTTCACTCCCACTTCATGTTTGAAAAATGCAACAAATGCTGTTGCCTAGCAGACCGAGAGGGTGGAGCCACTAACAAATACACACACTCACAACATTGTGACATCATAATGTACCAGTTTACATCATAGCATACCTCTTAGCCAATAGCGGTGGCAGATTTAAATTCAAATGCAGTGAAGAGTTTTTACCTGACAACGGCACAACACTGACAGTTTCAGGCAGAAAATTTAAATTTTAACTAAAATGCACTTAAGTGCAAAACTATTAACTACACGTGTCTGCAGCACGATTAGACACGCATTTATATAGTTTATCAGAAAAAAATAGTTGATTTGGGGGTGACTTGCTCTTTAAGAGTTTGTAAGGCGTGGGTTACGGCGACAGTAGCCCGAAAATAATACTGATAAAAGAGCAACCAGAGACTCTGAGTCATTACAGTATAATCGCTGATGTGAGCCAATCCTGTTAGACTCCAGCCATGTTTGCCCTGATAACTAATAACTCCACGGTGCATGACCCATGTGATCTTCAGTAGATGCAAATACATCATCATAAATGTAGCTTAACAAGATAGATATTATTTTTTCTCTGGACAAGAAATATACGATATGCCCCACCTGTAGACGAAATTTAAATAATTTTATATTAATTATAAATATATAATTAAAAAGTGCCTGTGGGACATTTGATACACCTCTTGCTCTCAACTATGTGTGTGTGTGTGTGTGTGTTAACAGACAGCTGTACCAGAGAATAGGCACTATGGTTAAAGTTGGACAAGAATGAATACATTTTTATGCATTAATCTACTGATTTATGTATAATTTCTCAAGACAGCTTGAAATATTTTACAGGAGGAAAAATATTGAGATATATATCATATATTGGAATTCAGCAAAAAGATATAAAGATAGAAGTTTTGGTCCATATCGCCCAGCCCTACACCAGACTATTGTTTTAGCCTGTTGTAGTGTTAGCAGAGGTGTGCTAGCATCACGAGTGCCGATTTCCTGCTTGAACACTCCAGATTTTATTCAAATCAGTGATTAGCGGCTTCCGCAGAACCTGATGAAGGCTGTGGAAATGATTTAGCAGTTAGTATCAAGTGTGTCTGAGCAGGAACAAATCAAAGCGTTGCTTGTCTTTTAGCGCTACAATGCTATGTGTGGGCGTGTACAATGAGAGGCGTGTCTTTCAGCTCCTTCCAGAAAGGATGAGAGAGCAAGGAGCCTTTCAGATCTTTAAATATCCCCCTCCTCTCCTTGATGACATCACCCAGACCCCAGCGTTAACAAAGAAGTTAAGGTTAAACATATCTAATATCTAACTGCGAATTTAGATAAATAAATATAAAATGCTCAAATTCGTTCATCTTAAAGGTCAAATGTTACATTAAACGGCCTGTATTTGATGTAGCACCTTCTAGAGTCCTGGAACCCCCCAAGGCACTTTACAACACAATCAGTCATTCACACACACACATTCACACACTGGTGGTGATGAGCTACAATGTAGCCACAGCTGCCCTGGGGCGCACTGACAGAGGCGAGGCTGCCGAGCACAGGCGCCACTGGTCCCTCCAACCACCACCAGCAGGCAAGGTGGGTTAAGTGTCTTGCCTAAGGACACAACGACAGAGACAGACAGAGCGGGGCTCGAACCTGCAACCTTCCGATTACGGGGCGAGCACTTAACTCCTGTGCCACCGTCGCCCGTTAGTTAACATTATGAGGCTTTTAATTTGGGTGCAGAGACCTGTAATCCTGCAGGTCAGCTTGCAGTTGCGGCGTGTCAGCGCTCTAGTCTCCATCATTGTAAACATATATGTGTGTTGCTTGGGAGTAAAACAGCAAGCTTCTGTGTTTTGGGAGCCACGCTAGGGCAGCAGTCAGTATTTTTGAGCCCATGTTGACCAAGTTTTATTCTCTTTGATGACCACCACAGCAGCAATCGCCGCGCTCGCTCATTTATCACAGAGAGCTCATGAAGAGGACTCTGGGTCAGCCCACATATGCTTTCGAAGCACGGCAATATGTTGTAAGTGTGTGTGTGTGTGTGTGTGTGTGTGTGTGTGTGTGTGTGTGTGTGTGTGTGTGTGTGTGTGTGTGTGTGTGTGTGTGTGTGTGTGTGTGTGTGTGAGTGAGTGAGTAGTAAAGCTACATTTAAAGGACAGGCAGTAGCCTCTTTAGTTGTGACACATTCATCGGAGAAGGAGATGAAACGTCCTCACAACGGAGGCTAATGTCTGTCAGTGTTCATCACATGGTCGTGTGACGCGTGCAGAATCAGGACGAATGATCAGAGATGATGATGAGCTCATCCCTCATCACATGCATCAGCCTGATGTTTGCTTGAGCTGCCAGGGCACTCAGCATCTATAAGGGGTCAATTCTCAAAGTGTCACAAGCACCTGAGGAAGTGGGAGAGTGTGTGTGTGAGGATGCTCTTTTCATCCCACACAGGAATCGATGCTTTGGGCTAAACTGACTTTAAAGGTGGAGGTGTTAGTCACACTTTGGATCTGGGTCCAGCGTGTTAGAATTCACCCCTCCTGGGCCTTCTGTGTGCTGGTGTCCCATAATGCCGTGGTGCTGCCATGATACACTCATATATATGTGTCTGTCTTGTGTAGGAAAGGGTTTGTACTAAATGTTGAAATTTTTAAAACAATCTTTGGCTTTTTTATTTTTTCTGTGAATAATTTTATGGAAGCTTGGAGAAAAATAGCTGTTCAGAAACAAAACAAATATTTTTATAAGTTTATTTATAATTTAGCTAGTCGGTCTCGTTTATGTTGCTACGATGTTTTAACCCACGTGATTTTGTGTTGAGAAGTGAAAGCTGATATGGCCGTGTTGTTCAAAACCTGAAGATAAAGTCTGCCCTAATCTCATGAGCTATCGCGATCTGTTAGCAGTCACAGTTTGTGAGCTAATGCTGCTGTTAACCGTAGCGCAGTAGCTGTGAAACACACTTTTCAGTTGAAGCCATTTTGGTGTTTGTAATGCTGATTAGCTGTGGTGGCCATCTTGAACAGGGCTAACTTCCTGTCAGTTTCATTAAAGTCCACAGACGTGGGCAAAAACATTCTCACCCGCAGCTGGAAGGCTAAAGTTTGACGGAGAAGCAAAACTTCTGATGAATCTGCTGCAACATCACAAGCAAATTAAGTCCTGATGGAAGGAAATAAGAAGTTATTTTCCCTTTCAATTGTTTATTAAAACCAGTAATGTGTCCTTTTTGTCATTTAATCTCTATTTGACCCACTGTAGAAAGAAGAATACAAACCTCCCTCCTAATTCTGGCCTGTTCTTCTACAGAGGGTGCTCTATAAAAGATCATTTCTTCTACTTCTTTCAGTGTTACATAATAAATGACACTAGTTGAGGGTCTCTAGTGAGACCGTAACAGTCCATTCCAAGTGGACGGCTCCATTAGTGGACTGAAGTGAGTAGCCCAGCAGCCTGTGAACCTCTAACAGGATGATTGCAAGTTATCTGCTGCAGCCCCTCCAGCCAACGGCTGTTAACCTGCTCCCAGAAGTGTCCAAAACACACTAAACCCTGGAAAATTACTTTTAAAAAAGCTCTTCAATCACTTTTGCAACAACTTTTGTTTCGTTTTCCCCAATTTGCTTTTAGTTTGAAAGAACTTTCTACCTGATTGGTAATTTTTTTTAATATCCGTGACATGACTTTGGCGCCCTCTGCTGTTCTGGCAGCAGAAGGAGAAGGAAGTGGAAGGGACCCTCCGTCCTGTCGCAGTCACGTTTTATTCACCTGTCCTTCCTTAATCTGTCATTCCTCTCGCCTCACTCCTGTGTCACAGGCTGGCTATTTCTCCACCAGCGCTCTCATGTTCCATTCATTCATCAAACTTCACCACTTCAGAAAAGAGCTTTAACCCTCTGGAGGCAGGCGTTGCAGATTTGCAACAGTTAAAACCTACCTACCTGGTTACTCCACATACGTATTTCATGAGCATTTTTAACTCAATATTCCCTGAAGGACTTAGCTGTTCGTCCTTTTATCAAAACTTATTTTGAGCCTGAGAGGGTTAAAACTCAAGCAACAGCATTTGCCACTTTCTAAACCCTCTTTTCCTTAAATGGTGAAGTCTGACTAAACAGAATTATTGTTGTCAAATGCAGGTAAAGTATGTTTTAAGAAGGAAAACAACCAGAAACGGCAGTAATATTCTCTTGATGCTGACTTTTGTCTGTTGTCTTTTTCTCCTCCCTGCCCCACACTATTCCCCCCCTCCCCTCCCATGAAGCTTTCTCTCAAGCTGGTAAGCATGACAGTATAACCGCACAACCGTAGAGGCATGACCACAGCATGCTTGTCACGTCCTCCCCCCAGTAACATGTTGTTAACAACGTTCCGTTCACCGTGTTCTTATTTAGTTGCTTTAAAGTGAGTTAATTGCTTTTCCCCCACCAATGGACATGAGAACTGTGTGGTTGTCTTATTTGTGTGTATTTTTGTTATTTTGCTTTTGTGTGTGTGTGTGTGTTCTCGTCTCTCAAACTGTGTCTGTGGTCTCTGTGGTGCAGATCACACTCAATTCCCACATCCGGAGTCTCTTTGAGGTGATCATATTTGCTCGATGTTTTACCTGTCCGTGTCTCTTAGGTCCTTTTTGTCTCTGTGAAAAGCGAATGTCTCCATAACAAATACTAATCTGACTGAATGTAGACAGGGTCTTACGTCCTTCCACTGCATGCTGTTAGATTCAGTTATTATCGGTGTGTGACACTAACACAGGAGGCCTGTGGGATGGCAGGCCTCTGCTGTAAATCCACATGATTGTAATATTTATCTGAAAAGGCACAATTTGGGAAATGAAAGCAACAGTTTTGGGAAATACGTTAATTTTACTTTCTTATATTAGTGATGAGGAGTGGCTGATTTGACCTTTTAAAGCAGCAATCTGGAGTTTTCCTCCTTTTTGGGAGTTATGTATGATTTTTTTTAGAACTCCATAGAAGTGATAGTCTTACCCTGTACTGTGATATAATCTCAACTCAACATTTATCTATGTAGCACCTTACAGACATAAAATATGCTGACAAAGTGCTGCAGAGAAAACTGGTAAAAACAAACATAAAAAAAAACACAAGAACACAAAAAGTCAAGTAACATAATAAGACCAGATCAACGTGAACCTACAGAGTTCAAAGTCAGATGGTAATGTCTTCAAACAAGACCTTGGGACCGAGAGCAGCAAATAGTTCTCAGAGCAGAGCATCCGAACCAGGACATCCAATTCAAATTCAAAGATACTTTATTAATCCCAGAGGGAAATTAGAGTTTCAGTACACACAATTCAGAGATCAGACATACATACATAGACAAAGACACATGACAAGAATTGGTGACTGTGGTCATTTGCAACCCTGAGTCGTGCTACCTTAATAGAGATAAGAGGGTTACATGAGGATTGGTTCAGGTGGAGGAAAAAAAAGGCACTTCAGAGTTACCCTCCACAGGGAGGGCAGCTTTGCTATGCAAAAAAAAAAAAAAACTTCAGAGATGCAACAGACTTCAGACATTACAGAACATAAGTGTCCACTAGGTGGGGTGGTAGGGTTGGGGACTCTCCACACGTCAGTGCCTGCAGCTACGATAAGCAGCGCACGTCACCTCAGTCTGGACAGGGGAAGGAGGTCATTGAGGTTTGGAGGGCACAGTGACTCCTGGAACGATTTGGCGGCCTTCACAGCCCACAGTCCCGCCCAGGGTTGGATAGGAGTTGCCATAGCGACGGCAGCATTCCACATTTCTTCTGAGGGGGGGAGTATTCGTTGCAGCCTTACAGGCTCAAGGGCACCAGATTCAGATTAGAAATTGTTTTGGGGCCAGACAGAGATAATTTCCTCTCTGTCTTAAAGTTTCGTTGGTCCTCAACCTCTCAAAATCCCAATAAATCTATCCCAATCCGTGCTGATTCGTCCACTTTCTCCTTGATGGCATCCATCTTTTTTTTGTGAGCAATTGTTTTTATTTTGTTTTAGAAATGCTGTCAAAAATACAATTAACACAGATTACAGAAAATAATTCCCTCTCTCAAACTGTTCCATGGCGACTCCCTCCCCCACCCAATCGGATATTCAACCACAAAGTGTTTAACCCACTTGGACAATGAGATGAAATGTCCTGTGTCACCCATCTGGTGTATCCTGCGGTCGACCAATTTGCACCTTTCTTTTAACCGCCGTGTAGGCTGCATTCCATGAGCTCAGTGTCCTCTGGCTGGCTGCGTGCACCGTAGCAACAGATCTCCCCAGTACAACTACGTCCAAAAAGGAGTTTGCCCATTGTTGCCATGGTAATGTGTGTGGAGGTTGCCACCTTAGCGCCAGCATCTTCTTAGCGACCCGTCCACAGAATTCGCTGTTGGTCAGCGGAAAGGTTCAACACAGAGTCATCATTAAGCAGCAGCAGCAGGGAAGGGCTTAACGGAAGTTTAACCTTAATTAATTCACTTAAAGTAGCAGATACACTCCTCCAAAAAGTAGCCACCTCTGGGCATTCCCAGAAGACATGCAGAAAAGATCCGGTCACTTTTAATGATCAAAGGTCACATACCGGAGAAGCTTTGATTCCCATAGCATGACGCTTCCTAGGGGTAAGGTACATTCTATGCATTAATATGAAGTGAATGAGCTGATGGTTAGGGTTTCTTGAGGTTTTACCCACGTTACCCCACACTGTGTCCCAACATATTTCTGGCATATTTCCCAAATCTCCGTTCCGCACACCTTCCACCAGAAGCCGTGTATGTGGGTTTAAAATGTATTTATATAATTTAGATGCTGTGCCTCGTAGCCTTGTCTGAGCAGCTAATAAGTCCCGAAACGGGTGCGTTGGTAATGGCCTGCCCCAAGGGACCCCATAGGCCTTCATGGCCGACCTCAGCTGCAAATAAAATAAAAACGAAGAACCCAGTAGATTATACTCTGTTCTCAGGTCACTGAATGCGCGTAGACCCTCCTCATTGTTCAAGTCATCTAAGATATTTACCCTTTTCTCTTTCCACTGAGGAAAGGAGATTGTCTTTTTCCTGATGAGGATATAGTAATTATTAAAGGTGGGTGTGTGTTTATGCCACTTCAAGTCAATTTTTTTGTATTTTAACACTGTTTGAGATATTTTGAGTGCATAAGTTATTATCGGACCAAAACGTGTTCTGGCCTCCCGCATCGGCACCCCCGAAAAGACTACATCCGGCGGTCTGTAGGGTTGAGCGATATTTTCTTCAAATGATTTCCATGAAGCGGTGGAATTAGGATCAAACCAAATAGAGAGGGGCCGGAGGAAGAAGGACCAGAAGTACACCTTGAAATTCGGGATAGCTAATCCTCCAATGGTTTTATCTTGCTGTAGTGTATTTAGTTTCACTTGGGGCCTTTTCCAATCCCAAATAAATTTTGTTATCATAGAGTGCATTTTCTCCCAATAGCCCTTTGGGGGAGCCAGTGGGATCATTGAGGAGTAAAAATTTATCTGGGTAAGAACGTCCATTTTAACTATGGAAACCCAAGCCTGCAAGGAATTTGGGAGTTTGGACCAACGTTCCAAATCTTTTTCAATGAGATCTCATATACTTGAGAACTTTTTTGTCACTATACTGTAAATGGAAGGACAGATAGTGATTCCCAGATATTTAAAGTCCTTCACTGTCGGGATGCTAGGTGGTAATGGTATCTCTAGTTTTGCCGAATTTAGGTGTAGTTAAGAAGACTTGGTCCAATTTATTTTGTACCCAGACAGTGAACTAAATCGGTCAAAAATTGATAGTAGATGTGGTAGGGAGGATCCCGCTTCTCTAATGTACAGTAATATGTCATCAGCATATGAAGATATATGGTGTTCAGTGTTACCGAGGACTATTGGGAGGATCGAGGGATGCTGCCTAATTCTCTGTGCAAGTGGCTCTAATGAGAGGGCAAACAGCAGAGGGGAGAGAGGGAAACCCTGACGGGTGCCCCTTCTAATTGAGAATAGTGAGCTACAAAATCTGCGTGTGAGTACCATCGCACTCGGGCTTGCATGTAGCACTTTAACCATATTAATGAATTGGGGATCCATATTGTATTTATGCAGTGTGGCCCAGAGATAGTCCCACTCAAGTCTGTGCTTTCTCAGCGTCAAGAGACAAGACTGAGCATGGGTTATCGGATGCTTTTGCTGCCTGCGTTATGTGGAGGAGTCGACGAATGTTGTCAGATGCCAGCCTGCCCTTTATAAAAACTAGTTTGATTGTTATGCACCAAATTAGGGAGGTGTTTTTCCATCCGCATGGCGAGTAGTTTAGCAAATAGCTTGATGGCATAGCATGAATGTCAGCCAAAGTTCTAAGCTCACGATTCATCTCGACAATTATGTGAGTCTGTGAATTCACAGCGTGGTGTAATCCATCCCTGAGCTCGGGGAGAGCGCCAATATTCCTCGACAGCTCGTTAATTTTCTGGTAAGCCAGGAAGCCTCCTTGGCCAAAAAGCAGGAAACCTGACACCAACACCACAAATATCCAGACATATGAGGGTTATGTCTGCTTAGTTAGGCAGAGCCAACCCATTCAATGTTTAGAAAACTAATAAAAGAAGTTTAAACCGAACCCCCCACCCGTCCTATAAAGCCCCATGCAATTTGAACTGAGCATTAGCCAGTAGCGTTAGGCTACTGCTAAGTATAGATGCCAATCACAGAGCCTGCACAAGAGTTTGTGGACGCACCTAGACTGATGTAGCCTGGCACCATCCTATGTGAATATACAGTCTGGCCACGATCCATAGGGGGAGCTTAGCCATGGGGCGGGATCTACGGTTGTCTTTCAAACTGTATATGCCTGCTATTGGACAATGAGTAACCTGACTGTCCACCATACTCTGTCAAAGAAGATGCAAATACATTGTTTTTCCAAATAAAGGACCTAATGGGATATTTCACCCAAAATTGAAATTTTTTCTGTTGACATATTTCCTAGGGTTAGATAAGTGGGGGAAAACAATTTTTAACCAGCCCAGTCATTCTCCTGACCCGGCTGAACTCCTTTCACTTTAGCCTAGCATAAAACACAGTAAGTGAATGGATCCAACTAGCATTGTGAGTTAAAACGTCCTTAAAAGCCCTCAGTAGTGATCCCAATTCTGCTCGGTGACCTAAATAATGAGACTGACTGCGCCATTTTAGACTTTTGACTACTTTATTACATTGTGTAAGCTTTTCCTGCCAACATCTTACACCCTGCAGTAATGTGGTGGATTGTCTCAGGGCCCTCTTTGCATAGCCCACACCCTGGGTCTTGTCTAGTGTAGTATGTTTATGTTTATGTGCTTAGCAGACGCTTTTACCCAAAGCGACTTACAATTTTTTTAACCTATAGGGCATGTTGTGATCTGTGGGGGAAACCGGAGTACCCGCAGGAAACCCACGCATGCATGGGGAGAACACGCAACTCCACGCAGAAAGGCCGCAGCCGAGTTTCGAACCTGCGACCTTCGTGTTGCGAGGCAACAGTGCTAACCACTGCGCCACCATGCACCATGTATGAGTAGTAGATCTCATACACACATGCATATATATA